TCTGGGGAGTGGACCAGAGAGGACAAGGGAGTCAGGACCCTGAGCTATTCCCTGCCGCCTTATCCCCAATGCCGAGTCCCCAGCCCGAGACACGCTCTCCCTACCCCTACGGCCAGCCTTCACTCACCTCTAAAGGGAGGAGCGCACACAAACTCACAGCCCACTTGCACTTGAAGGTTCTGAAAAATAGTAATCATACGGATTTGATTTTAAAACAGCATAACAACTGTCTTGCAATGAGCTTTTCTGGTCTTGGGGACTGCATTGGGCCTGGGTCTGCCACTGCGATGACCCCTTCAGCAGAACCCCGCCTCGGTCCTTTCCCGACTCTGCGGGTCTACTTCAGACCCGGTAAGCCTCGGGGAGCGCCCGCACGCTCGGGGCAAGTCTAAGGCCAGCGCGCCCTCTTGCGGTGATGGGGCGCGTGTGACCTCGGCTCGAGCGTCCTTACCTGCCAGACTGGAGAGCTCTCACCGCTGTGGTGCCCTGAATGCCCTCCGTGGCTGGGGGACTTCGGGTGAGGGCCCCAGTTCCAGGCAGGTGGGAGATACTGAATCTCGGTTCCAGCAGGCTGTTGGGTCTTCGGCCTGTGCTCCCACCGGAACACCTGTCAGACTTTGCCTGGGAACCCCAGTTTGAGTCAGCCAGCCTTAGCCCCATCAATGCAGTGACAGGAGTCCTGGCCTTGTCTGGTGGCCATCCTGTCGCTGGACAGCTCTGCTGGTTAAAATGCCCCACTCCCATGGTGCCCTCTGGGGCTCCCGAGCTACATACAATCCCACACCCCGATGCATAGAAGGAACGGGGGCCATTCCCCCGTTCATCCATTCAGAGTGTGTATTGAATACCCGTTGGCGCTGTGGGTTAAGCTAGGGGCTGGAAACATAATGCAGACCAGACACTGTCCCCGTCCTTAGGAGGCTCCCAGGCCGGTGATGCTTGTGGAGCGGGGAACAGGGAACGCAAGTTCCTGATACTGGACCACATCCTCTAACTGAAACATGGAGAGGTGCTCCGGGGGCCTGCTGTGGGGCCCTGGGGGTGGGCAGCCGGTCACCACCGGGGAGGTGGACACCACACACCCTGGGCCTGGGGCCTGAGGTGGCTTGTGACCTGCCTTCCTTCCTTCGCTCCACCTAAAGCCCCCTGAGGCTGGGCTCTTCCCCAAGAAGGGATGCCCCAGTCCCTGCCACATGAGTCTGTGTGTTCTTCTACCTCCCTTTCACTTTCTTCCATCCCACTGTCCATTCTTCTGGGTCTCTAGCAGGGAGTGCCGTGGTCAGCAGTAAGGGTCTCTGTGGGAAACAGAGTCAGTGCAACACGGAGGACAGCCTTTAATGAAGGTGCTTCTTATTCATGGAGGTGCGAGCAGGGTGAAAGGAACCAGGGAGTTGAGACGCTGAGAGGCTGGGGCTGAAGACGCAGGAGGAAATCGTGGTCTAGGAGCCCAAGGAGGTCTGGAGCTTGGAGCAAGGAAGCCAGTGCGGAGGGTTCCAGAAGCAGGAAGGAGCAGGGATATATGCCTGGAAATCCCTCTTGTCCTGCCCTCTGATCTCCGGGGCTTCTCACTGGCCGAGCCCGAGGTAAAGGGGCCCAGGTGAGGCCCATCCGCAGGTTGGTGTCCTGGGGCACAGAGCAGAACAGAAGAGGGTAGGGAATGAATGGGGTGGGGGTAGGGGGGTGCAACCAGAACAATCCGCAGGGCTGTTACCTGCTACCTGGCTTCAGTCAATAGTGGAGATCTGAGAGGAAACCCCAGAATTCTTTATTTAACATTTTTCAAGGTCTACGTGGCCAAAACAGTGCTAAGATCAAGTGATAGCCAGTGTGATGATTCGTTCCACATGTCAGTTTGGCTAAGCCATGGTCTAACACGAATCTAGATGCTGCTGTGAAGGTATTTTTGTGATGTGATTGACAACTACAATCAGTTGGCTTTAGAGAGATTGCCCTCAATAACGTGGGTGGGCCTCATCCAATCAGTTGAAAGCCTTAAGAGCAAAAAGTGAGGTTTCCCCAAGAAGGAATTCGGCTTCAGACTGTAACAGAAATGCTGTCTGAATTTCCAGACAGTTGACCTGCCCTGCAGATTTCCAACTCAAGATGGCAACATCCACTCTTGCCTAAACTGCTGGCATTTTGCACTTTCTAGATCCCACAATCACATGAGCTAATTTCTTACTATAAATCTCTCCCTCTGTGCATCCTAGTGGTTCTCTTTCTCTAGAGAACCCCGACTGCCGCAGCAGGAATGTGGGGAAATGGGCCTCTCGTGCACTTGCTGGTGAGGGTGTAAGTTGGGACAGCCCCATCTGGAGGGGAGTCTGTCAGTCTTTACCAAATATTGGGTTTTGCAGTGTTCCGTTTTTAGCATTTCTCTACAGCATGGCTTGGAGGAGCAAGTCACAGACAATTTGAGCACCGGTAGCCACAGGCCTGACGATCTGAGGCAGAATGCCAGCCAGCAAGGACAGGCTGATGGCCGGCGAGGCGGCCGCCTCTTCGCAGATGAGGAACTGGGGGCTGGTGAGGGGCGCGGCCCACCCCAAAATGCACACAGCTCGGATGAGGCCATTACCCTCATTCTCACAGGCACTGTCACCCTTAAGTTTTTCTTCTTAGGAGGGGTCCTTGCCCCGTTTTTTGCCAGATTCCTCGGTGGCAAAAGCCACCTCATCCAGGTTCTAGGACAGGACTTACCTTGAGTAAGTTTGCAGAGAAAGGAGCCCGAAGAAAACCCACAGAACGTAGAGCAAGGCCCAGCCCAGGTTGGGGTGATCCTGCCAGAGGGTGCCTGGCGCCACCTGTGGCTTCTCTGTGTTGAAGAGGTTCCAGTGAGGCCCAGGGTCCTGGCCTCCCACCCTGAGCCCTGCTCACCGTGGTCAAAGGGAGCAAGCGGGAGCCCGCTCCTGCCGACTCTAGTCATGGGGGACTGGTGGGCACACCCCCATATGTCCAGGGCTTGCTACTGCGGGACCGGCCTCGGGGGTGCTGCCCACCTCGTACTGCTCCCCCTCTCCCCACCCCACGGGTGAGCTGTGCTCTCTGTGGTTCCAGGGGGCCAGTCCGATAAGCCCATTAGGGTTAGTAGGTATGTGGAGTCAGAAGGTTGAGGGTTGGATCCCAACGGCGCTCGAAGCAGCTGTCTGACCTTGGGCAAGTCATGTAATTTTATGGGTGAGCCACATCCCTAAAGTGTCCCAGGATCGCTACCATGAGCCGACGAGCTAACAGACACTAAGTCACTTCATCAGCTTGGAAACACCAGAGAAATAAGTGTTGGTCGTAGATCTAGTACCTAGTACCTCCCCTGATTGTTTTCACAAGTGCGCAAAGGCGTCTTGAGGAAAGTAAAGCCTTATCTGGGCATTTCTCAAATAGCTGGCCCTGAACAGGTATTTAATGAGCTGAGCTCTCAAGGGATTTTGAGGTACACGGACCTCTGAGACCCTCGCCAGAGAAGTGACTGCGGTCTTGGCATTGGAACTACCTGACAGCGAGGGGGTGGGGAGGGAGGGGGGTGGAGGGGGAGAGTCGCTTGGAAGGAGGGGAGCGTGGGCTTTGCCCGAGTGTGGCATCAACCCAAAGGCTCAGGGAATCTTAATTCCCATCCCGTGCCACAAGACCAGGCAGGTTAGTCTGTGGTGACAACAGGGTCCAGATCCCCCTCATGGCAGGCGACAGGCAGGCTGGGAGGTGCTAGTCGTTCCCAAGGAAGATTAGAAAAGCACCCTTCAAAAAACAGCCTTATTTTAGGCTATTTGAAAGTGAGGAGAAAAGGTATATGACCTGGGGACCCCACCCCCAGCAAATAAGGCACATATAGGATGGGATGAAGGCGGTGCCTTCTCCCAGAAATCCCCTCCCCAACCCAGAGCAGGACTGAGGGCCTGGACTGGGCAGCAGGGGAAGGAGGAAAGGGCCCTGGGGAGGAACACCTCCCTCCTTGGCTACCGGCACCACTGAAGCTGGTCCTTGGAAACGGGTTCAGGAAGAGACATACCTGCCTGAAAAGAAGTCTCCCCGCCCATCCCTAACTTGACCGTGGCCAAGTAAGCCTGGCTCCCACCACAACCCTCTGGGTTGTGCAGCTTCAAGGAGCAGCAGTGGCTTGTTCTGGGGAGCAGAGTAAGGGAGGGCCTGTTTCCCTTTCCAAGGCTGATGAGGAAGGGGTTCCCTCTCTCGTCTCCTCCTTCCTCAGGAGTCCCCTATGGGACACTTGGGACTTTCCCAGCCCCTGCAGCACTCTTGTCCCGCCCTGTGCTCAGTCTCCTCCACCTGCTGAATACCTACCATCCTTCTGCTCCAAGCCAGGTCCCACCTGGTCCAGGAGTCTCCTTCTGACAAATCCAGCCTGCACACCCCTCCTTCCCGGAAGCCTTCCAGCACCCAGCTTGGCACTTCCTATCACAGCCTCTTTATACTGGAAGGTACTTTTAATGCGAAGAGGCCTGGTTTAGCTGTCTCAGGTTTACAAGTGAGGATACTAAGACCATGAACACTAACGATATTAACAATGGCGAGTACAGCGAGTGCTACGTGCTGGTCACTTCCCGTGAATGAACCTACGCCAGCCTCACATTGAAGCTCATTGTATAACCGAGAGAGCTGAGGCACAGAGAGGCAAAGTAGCCTGACCCAAGATTGTGCAGGAAAGAAGAATCTAGGCCAGGATTTGAACCTTGAAAGTCTGGTTCTGGAGTTTATGCCTTGTTTCTTGCCTTAATATAGCTTAGGCTTTTATTGTCTCCCTTGCTCATCTATGTCTGTCTCTTATTCTGTGCAGTTTTGTCTTATCCTTCCCTAATCTGCGCCCCCCTCCCCGCCCGCCTGGGTCCCATCCCCGTCCCAGCTGCGCAATGGCTGAGCACAGCAGGTGCCTTGGAAGATGTCCCAAGCAGGGTCACCGGTCATGTAATGGAACACTTCTGACACCAGGTGGCAGCATCGGCCAGGAGTGCTCTCAGAACTCTGCACTGCGCCCCGTCAGTCAAATAAAAATTTAAACTTTTATTTCTGGTACAAATGATAAATACTTTGCATTAAAAATCTGGGATTCAAGTTTTCCTGGTACTTCATGCTCCCTCCCTGCCCCAGAGCCTTACAAAAATATTTCCGTTTAGAGTGCAGGACGCTGGTGCCTGTGGTCCCCACAAGGTCTGGGTCGGGGGAAAGGCACATATGGTTTGTCTCCGGGCTGGGAGGTCCTCACGTGCCCCAGCGTTGGAGGCCAGCAATGACAAGAATGCGCTGTGCTCTGGTGTAGGGGCTACGGCGACGGTCCCCGGCAGCCCCCACTCCGGGGCAGGGATCCCCTCCTTGGTGGACATTGGGTGGTGCAGAGGGGCCGGCTCCTTCCAGATGGGTGAGTCGGTGAAGGGGTGTGTGTGTGTGTGTGTGTGTGTGTGTGTAGGTCGGTGTCACAGGCACAGACACCTTCCAGGATCGAAACCTTCAGAGTTAAATAGAGTCACGGGCCATCATTTGGTTGCTTGAAAGAGAACACTTCAGGGGGAGCTTAAGGGAAGGGTGGCAAATCTGGAAAGCCCCCTTCTCTCTCTCCCCAAGGGAGGCACAGGGTGAGTGGGGAGGGCTGCCTCCATGAGTTAACCCCTGCCATGCCACACCCCGTTTCACAGTCTCATGTGATGGGGCCAGAGGCTCCCGGGTGATCGAGGGAAATAAGGCATCAGTGGGAGGGGTGCCACCCCCTCTGGTGGCCTGGGGAAGAGCAGGGAACCCAGAGCAGCCACCTCAGGGACCACCGTCTTCTCCCCTGCCCAGCTAGGGCTCCTCGTCCCAGAGGCACAGCTGCCTGTGGGGCACATAGAAGTCGAAGCGGTAGTTCTTCTGGCAGCTGCGGATGCCGCACCTGTAGGGGGCCGGCCGGTCATGGCTGTGGCAGTATTTGAGCAAACACGGGTACCAGGCCAGGCTAAGGCCATAGCGGCAGATGCATGGCCTCCCGCTGTCCCCCACCTGCCCGCAGCGCCGCAGCCCCGAGGGCTCCGTGGCCTCAGGCAGAGCCTCAAACACGGAGCTGTCCACACCTGGCAAAGAGAGGCGGGGGTCAGCGGTGGGGAAAGAGAGGGCACCCCCCCACCCCAGACCCACGCTCTGGCCCTGCATGGCCTCCTGGGGCCTCCGGTCAACCCGAGGAGCCAAGTACCCGTTCTTGGTCTCCTGGCTGATTGATGAGAAACCCGGCTCAGAGGGGTTTAGTGATCTGCCTGAGGTCACAGAGGAAGGAGTTCCCTTCAGTGAGAAGGGAACCCCAGGCCATCTGACTTCAAGGCCTCCACGTGGCAACGCCGCCCTATGCTTAGAAACATCGCTGTACTAGAATGAGACAGAGTAGAGAGTCAAGGAGGGCGGCTTCAAGGAGGGGCATCTGAGGATGGCCAGCACGAACGTGCCGGGACATCAGCGTGGCCAGGGCACACGCGGGGGTGCGGGAGGGAGATGGCGGTGACCTGGCCCCTGACGTCGGCTCAGTGGCCGGGGGAGGGACCGGCCCCAGAGGGCAGGGGGCAGTTTCAGACTTGCACGACAGTGTGGGGTGCAGCTCACCAGGGAGGGCTGTGTGTGGAGGGCATGAGCACAGCTCTCTGGGCGTTTAGAAATCCAGGGGAGCCCTGGGAGGGGCAGGCACTTGCCCAGTGTTCAGCCGGGTGGGCAGAAGGACCAGGGACTTGGACTAGAGCTGTGTCATCTCCCGGTGTCCTCTATACGGAGGACCCGAGGACGGTCCTGGGAACGGTGTCAGGAGAGGCACCGGCAGCAAAGCCACACAGGCCTAAAGGCAGGGAGCCCACAGAGACACCGGGGCCCTCAAGGAGCTCGGCAGAGAGCTGCTCACACCAGAGGAGACATGAAAGAAAGGAGAGGTGCTGACTTCCGAGGGGGGGCGGCAGAGGTGGGCAGGCAGGAATGGGTGTCTTTGAGCCCAACCGGGACCCTACAACCTGGGCCTCCCCCCATGACGGATGTCCCATCTGTGTTCTCACTAAGGGAAGGAATAAGGTTGGCGCTGCCTGGATATCTCCCTCAATGGGATCTAGCAAGTCACAGTTCTGTGTGTCCCTACCTGGAAAGGGTCACTTTCATCTGGCTGACTCCTCTCACTCAAGAGCCACACGGGCACCCCTTCCTCCAGGAAGCCTGCCCTGACCAATCCCAGCCCAGCGCCGGGGACCCTCCGCCGAACTCCCGTATCTCACGACTCTCTATCCGGGCCGACGCAACACTGCACTGGGTGGCACCCCGCTGACCTTGCTCCAGCCAGAACCGGACGTCCTCCTGGCGAGTGTAGATGCTCTCCGCGGCCTCGGCGCACACGTTGCGGAGGTGGGGGCTCAGCAGGCCCCCCTGGCTGAAGTTGACGGCGACGTCCATGTGCAGGTGCTCCAGGCCCCGCACCTCCTCGGCCTGCCGCACCGCCCGTGGGTTCTTCTGCGGGGAGAAGAAGAGCCGCTCCCACCCGGCCTCAGAATGCTCTGCCCACCCCTTGCTTGGTGCCCAAGTGTCAGACAAGCCAAGGCTGGTGGCGCTTAGAGCCCTGGGGCAGGCTGGCTGTCAAGGGGCGCTAAGCATCGCTTCCACTTGGTGGAGAAACCAATGTTCAGGGCAGAGCCAAGCCCTTCCGGCTGGCCACCAGCTGACATCTGAGGCTGACGGGGAATTCTGACAGTGGCTGAAGGTGGCGCAGGTGGCCAGCCAGGCAAGTTGTCCCAAAGCAGATGACCTCTGGGGTCCCAGACTTTCCAACATGCAGGCGGTGGGGTCTCTGGGAAGGGCCTCGAACAGGCCCTGCTGGAGGGTTTTGGAACTTAGGTGAGGCTGGGGCGCGGCCCAGGGTCCAGGAAGGGCCGGGGCACAGACCAGTAGGCTGGAGTGTTCTGAACGTGGCGTGCATTAGCTCATTTAATTCCCAGAACTCATTTCTCAGTAAGAAAATAAAGGCCTTGGAGCGCCTGGGTGGCTCAGCGGGTTAAAGCCTCTGCCTTCGGCTCAGGTCATGATCTCAGGGTCCCGGGATCGAGTCCCGCATCGGGCTCTCTCCTCAGCGGGGAGCCTTCTTCCCATCCTCTCTCTCTGCCTGCCTCTCTGCCTACTTGTGATCTCTGTCTGTCAAATAAATAAATAAAATCTTTAAAAAAAAAAAAAAAAGAAGAAAGAAAAGAAAATAAAGGCCTTGCTGGCGAGGTCACTCCAGCAGTGTCACCTGGATGAGGAGTGGTGGCAGCTTTGACCTCAGAGTCCCAGCCCCCAGCCTCCACCATAAAGAGGGAAGAGCTGAGATTAGGGGACTGGAGGGATCTGGCAGTTGGGGGAGGCCCTGCAGATTAGCGATCTGGGTGATGGGGTTCGGTATGGCCTAGGGCACAATCAGGGGGCTGGGGAGTACAGGGTGAGAGTGGGGTGTCAGGGAAGAGGGCCAGGGTGGGTCAGGTGCCGGGTGGGAGACTGAAGTTGGGGTAGGGTCCGGGCTTGGGGCCAGGCTGGCTGCAGGGCTTGGAGTGGGGGCGGGGGGTGCGCCCGGGCAGCAGCCAGGCCAGGGCAGGCCCGAGGCGAGCACTCACCTGTCGAAGCTTGGCCATGGCCTCACTGGGGATGATCTCATTGTGGTGCAGCCGGGTGACAAAGCAAAGTGCCTGGAACTGACTCTGCCCCTTCTCCAGCTCCCCCAGGATCAGGGCTCGGAAGATCTTCACATCCTGATGGGAAAGGGCAGGAGAATGGGGACCCGCTGGAGTGGATGGGCGCCCCCCACCCCAGCCCACCTAGCGCTCTGCTCAGGCCTTGGACAGAACACAGGCCCAGACCCTGCCCTGCAATGGACATTTCCCTCCTGCTGGCCTAGGAGTTTTTTTCTTTCCCATTTAAACCTGTGACTTGAAAGAAACACACCCCAGATGTTCCAAAGCCTCCTGGCAAATCTCACAGTGGGAACCATCGGAAAGCTTTCCCAAACAGAGTCGTTTATGAGTACAGAACTTCACCTGAAAAGAAACAGCACCTTTGTTTGGTGCCTATTCACAGCTGGGCCCTTGGTGGCACCCCTGTGGCCCCCAGATCAGGGTGGGTCACAGCCCCTATAAACTACCGGACCAGGCGTACTAGGGGAGGGACTGAACTTCTGACAAGCCTAGATCCCAGAGTTCCTCTCACAGACATTCTTATTCGGGAGGTGTGGGGGAGGCCCAGAAACTGGTGCCCCTCAAAAGGCCTTGGGGTTTCTGATCAGCCAGCCTCCTGGCCATCCCCACCTCAGAGGGAGGGAGTAGGCACAGGATGGGGCTGAGGGCAGACACCGCATAGGCCGGCTGTAGCTGTTGCAAACTTCTGGCCAGACGGACTGGCGTGGCTCACCTTTCCCCTCCCCTCTCCACTTCCCCTTTTCCCATGGGGTTACTAATGGCATTACCAGCAGGCCAGTGGCTCTTTCCTGTTCCTCAGGCATTGCATGAATGGGGGGGCGCTGGAGGGGAGCAGAGGGAGAAGGGAGAGGGGCCGCAGGGGAGGATGGGGTCCCCTTCCCTGTCTGGCTGTGGAACCCTGTGCTCTCACCCAACTCTGGGCCTTGGCTAACTGCTCCCAGTGAGAAGTCAGCAGGTCCCAGTCAGAAGTGGTCTAAATCTGTCAAGAACCCCCACCCCTGGCCATAATGACCATCCCGCTCCAGTGTCCCAACGGCCCTGTCTTGGCACCGGGCGTACACAGCCCTGCTAGCTGTGCATCTCTCAATGCGTGTGCCCTGGCTTTGCCCACTAAGAGAGTCCGCATTCTCGGAGGGCTTCCTGAGCGCCCACTAGAGTACACGTGCTCTGAAACGGGGGCCGAGGGCTCCCTTGGGTTCCTTTAACACAACGAGGGGGAGCTGCACCCAACTCTGCAACGTATTAGCCAGGGCCCAGCCATAGGTTCCAGCTTCTGTAAGCCTCACTTGTAAGACGGGGACACTAAGGCATTTAGCTGGTCAGGTTGTGGTGAAAACTGAGTGAGTGTGCAGGGCCTAGAAGGACGTCCACCCCGACCCAGTGCTCAGCAGGGGCTCACTGGGGGGTCATCTCCTACCTGCAGGTGACTAGAGCTAGTCACTGCCACCACCCCACAAAGCCCCACGCGCTTGTCAAGTCCCTTGCCTCTCCAGGGACGTTTCTCTTGATTCCTTTTACTACAAATGATCTCTAGGACAAGGGGGTGTGGGCATGTGTGGGAAGATTTTCCACCAATAGTGCAGAAAGGGAGACTGAGGCCTAGCTGGTGAGAACGTCCCCATGAGGGTTTTGTTGATGCCAGACTTGTGGGGAAGGTGAATCAGAGCTCAGGTGAACCCCAGCTTCCTCTCGACAGGAAATCCACTCTTGGGCCACGAGGCTGGACTCTCCCCGCCCGGCCAGCCTGGGCCACCTGATCTTTCATTCGCTCGGGTCGACTGGAGGCTGGCCCATTCGTGTGCTTTCCACTTGGGGCTCACTTCCTGCCAGGTGAGACCCGATACCAGACTTCCCCTCTGAAGGCTGGAGTCAGCTGGGTGTGCCTGGTAGAACCCCGGGGCGGGGGGCGGGAGCTGACATCTATCTCCCGGGGATTTTCAGCAATGACTCTTTAAAAGAGCCTTATCTGTGGGGCACCTGGGTGGCTCAGTGGGTTACACCTCTGCCTTCGGCTCAGGTCATGATCTCAGGGTCCTGGGATTGAGCCCCGCATTGGGCTCTCTGCTCAGCGGGGAGCCTGCTTCCTGCCCCGTCCCCCCCCACCCCGTCTGCCTCTCTGCCTACTTGTGATCCCTCTCTCTCTCTCTCTCAAATAAATAAATAAAATCTTAAAAAAAAAAAAAGAGGCTTATCTGGAACAGTCACAGTGTCCTTTCCAAAGCCACCTCCACATGCCAAACCCTGGGGTCCGATGGCTGCGGAGTGGTCTCTCTGCTCAGGGATATCCCCTGCCCACTGTTAAGAGAAAGCATTTGGACTCTTGGAGCAGACAGGGGGTAAACAATCACCTGTTCTAGTCTTTCCCTCACTCTGTTGTATTAAACAACAATGTTGGCAACATCAGCAAAATGATACCAAAATGGGAATCTGACAGGGGGTAAAGACAGGGACCGAGAGGATTTCTCATTGACAGAGAAGATCTACCTATGGAGGGCATGGATTTATTGAAGTTTATAACTGGAAGGGACAAGTCATTGTTACTATGAGTCAAATAGGATGTATTGTCCTGTTTAAAATCTTTACAATAACAGGAGGTAGGGAAGATGATTATGACTTAGTTGGGAACCGTTACTTGCTCAAGGTCATGGGACTAGGAGGAAATGCGGCTGGAATTTTAACCCCGAGCAGTCTGACTCCCAAGCCTGCGCTCTCTCGGCCACAAGGCCCCATTGCCTCCCAGATGTCCTCGGTGGCTTGAGAAACCAAAGCCCAGGCCCAGAGAGGCAGGGTGGTCTGCCCTTGGCCACACAATTGCAAATGGCAGAACCAGGTTCAGAACTCAGTTTCCTCTTCCAGCCATGCCTGGAAGTCCTGTGTAGACCTGCCCTGGGAGTGTGGCAGCTGGCATTCACAGTTCTGCGTGACTAACAAGAACCAGCGTCTGACACAGAGAGGAGGGCTCCCGAGGCCAGGTCACCTTTCTGTCCCACCTGCCAGCCTGCCTGACCGTTAGAAACTCTGCGGACCCTACATTCTCCAGTCTTCCTAGCCCTATTTCTCCACAAAAACCACCTTCCACTTGCTGACTCTGGGACGGAGGGGTCACCCCTAACTTCTGGACCTACTTGGCTCCATTATCCTGGCCAGTGTCCCTCCTACCTTCTACTCTCTACACCTGACTCACTGCCAAGGTTCCAGGGGCCCCTCTCCCCACAGCACAGAGGAAAGGGCAGGGGGACAGGTATCCCTGCTTCAGCAAACATCTGGCCAGATGCTAGGCCCCGGCGAAAAGGAAGCCTGGCTCCCAAGTTTCCTCCTTGCCCTAGAGTGCCCTAGGATGAGTCACCCGGATGTGGCCTCATGCCCAAGGCAGATGGCACAGCTGGGGATGTCCTGGCACTGGAAGCAAGTTTCTCAGGTCCAGGACTCAGGCTAGGATTCCCGAGATGGCAGTTTCTGTAAGGCTACTGCTTGTGTGAGCTCCTGGGAATCTCTAGCCTGACGGGAAGCTGCAGAGCCTCCCGGGACCAGGGCTGATCCCCAGGCACCAGGGAGAGGCTCATGTACCATGGAGGTCACGATCACTGGCTGAAGTCCTTTGTGGTTTTAAGCAAAGCTCAGGAGCAGACAGGTTGTAGGACGGCATGGTAGTCATGAGCAAAGGCTCTGGTGTCCACACTACCTACGTTCCAATGCTGGCTTTGCTGACACCAGCCGTGGGACCTTGGGGGAATGCATGTCCCCCCGTACCTTAGTTTCCACATCTGTTAAATGAGTTAAACTAACAATACCTACACCTCCGGGGATTACTGTGAGGAGAAAATGAGTGAAAGTTCTCAGAACACAGTGGGCTGAACCTTTTGTCTAGTATCGCTGTGATCTCGGCCTGGCTCCAGCTGTGATCTCCTCCAGACCTGTCCAAGCAGGAGCAAAGACTGTTCTCCTCAAGATGCACCTGAGGCCCAGAGAGGTTGAGGGACTCCTCTGGGGCTTGTAGGGAATCTGCAAACCCGTGAGAGAGCACTGGTAAGCATTACATAGGGCACAGCCTTCACAGGCACCAGGCTTGGTGGGAAAATGGCCAAGACCAAGGCAGAGGCCCCAGTCTTCAAGGAGCTCATGGAGAGGCTGACCTCCTATGACAGTCAGTGCACCACATAAGGCCTGGGGTTGAGGTTTATGACAAGTGCTATGGGGCAAAGGATGGATGAAGGGGCACTTGCTGTCCCCTTAGGGAAGGGAATGGGAGGTGGGGAGGGAGGGAAGACTTGTCCAGAATAAGGGACACTTCAGGGGTCCCAGACAGTCCAAGGATGGGGGGTGCTTTCTAGCAAAGAGAGGAATTTACACAAGACAGGGAGATGGGAGGCTCTCCTAAGACCCCCACCCCATCTGTCCCTCCACGTTGTTACTGATCTGCCCAATGCCCTTTGGAAGCTCCTTTTGCCCTCGCCCTAAAGTGTAACCTCCTGAGGCTGGCCTCCACCGCCACCGCCAGCTTGTCTTGTACCCCCTGAGCATTGAACTAAAGGGCGGGCAGTTCCCAGAAGAAGTGATGAGGCCTTGGGCCTGTCCCTGAGCTGATTCCTCTGCTGGGGCTGCCCTGTCCCCCTCTGCCTATCATCTCTCAGGGCTCGGTTCCAATGCGTCCCCTCCTCCAGCCTGTCCTCCCAACGCTGCCCTCACCAACATGCCAGCAGACTCAGGAGGCCCAGCTCCTAACCTCGCCAGCACAAGCTTGGTGGTCTGTGGCCATCTCCTGCCGTACCTTCCAGACTCAGCTCCTTGAGGCTGGGAAAGCATCTTATTGGCAGTGATTCCCCGCCCCTAGACCACAGCAGGTGCTCCGTATGTGCCTGGGAATGAATGGACGGAGGAAGGAGCACACAAAGGAGAGTATGGAAGCATCCTGAGCAAACCACCAGGGACGGGGTGGGGCGAGGGAGGGCAAAGGGGTCGGAGGAAGAGGCTGGTATGAGGGGCGGGACAGCGGGTCTGAGAGTCCGGCTGAGGAGTCTGAGCTCCAGCTAGCCCATCACTGGAAGTCACTGGTGGGT